TCTCATGTGCTCTCTCTCTCTCATTCTCTCTGTCTCAAATAAATAAATAAAATCTTTAAAAAAAAAAAAAAAAAGAAAGGCTCTATGGTTAAAATTATATCATTTCTGATTCTGTAGTTAATGGCTAAAGATTATGTTAATCGGTGCTGACAGAAAATTGAGGTAAAAAACTAAACTTCCATATTTTCACACACCAAATCGGCACCAAGCCTCATAAATGGTAACTAGTTTTCATAAAGGAATACAAGTAATACATGCTGTATTTTCATTACTACCAAGAAGGAAATATTAAACATGTTTTAGAGAGAAAGCCCTACGCTTTCTTTTTAAGCATAAAAACAGGTATTTCTCCCAAAATCTCAGGATGAAAAGCATTTTTAATTATAGGATGCCAGTTCATTGCTTGTAGGGGAAAAAAAAAAAAAACTGAAGACATATTGTCAGCAGGACTCAATGTTACAACCAATATCTTTATTTTGCTTCAGTGCTTGTCTCTAAACAAGAAAGTACGAACATATCACTGAAGCAAACTAAACAATGCAAAACTGCCCCTGTTTTAAATTATTTCCCTACCTTACCAAAAAGTTGAAAAGGTTCAAATTTAGGGATCTGGGAAAGCAACAAGTGAGCACACTAAACCCACAGTCAGTGATTCTCTCTCCAGATCAAGTGTCCATTAGACAACGATGGGCAAGCAAAAGATGAGAATTCTTCTGAGTATTCGATGGCTATTTACATAAATTGTGTTTTAACTTCCTAAACTGGAAGCGAATGAAACCAATATATTTATGGAAAATATCAAAATACAAATGCAAACTTTCGTATTTTAGGAATCTATCAGAAACGTAAAACTACATTTTTAACACTTGCCCTCTGCCAACACTACAAAACCAAACCAAATTTGCATTCCTCATGCTTCCTTCTAGAAATGCTATGCCAGATAAATTTCTAGAACTTTCCCCATCACATGCACAAGAATATATTATACACATTTCACAAGCAAAAAGTTGATGTCAAATTTATGATCTGCCAAAAATATTTCAACAGAACCTCTAAATTTTGTTTAAAAAATTATCAAACCAAATACTGTCTTCTTTTAAAGTAATTTAAACAGAATTTCACCTCATAACATTTAACCCCTCCCAATAAAAACCCCAAAATATTATTCAACTAGGATAATAGCTGAACAGGATAATAATAGGGTAACCTTAAGAATACTTTTAGTCATGCTTCAAAAATATACAGTCTTTCAGACAACTCATTTGTTTCTAACAAATATTTCTACATATTTTCTATACAATAGACAAGCAGTGTTTGAAATGTGGTACCTTATTACACAAAAGCATATAAATGTATGGCATTCTATCTCAGGCAGAGGTACTCAGCACCAAAAGGAATTATTAACAATGCAAACATAAAAACAATGGCTTAAGATATTCAAGTGAAAGTGGGGAAAATACCACTGTGATTGAATAAAATGTTTTGAAACCCTTTAAAATAGACTTTTATTGGGAGAGGTGGGGAAAGGAGTGGTGGTGGAGATGAAGATGAGGCAGTATCAGATCCAGGAATTAAAAGAAAAAAAAAAAATTCAAGCTTTGATCTCAAGCCACTTCATGCTGTCCACAAAAAGCCAAACCATTCCAAGCCAAAAGTCATGCATGTATTCTCCTGAATTCAAGATTAAAAAAGAAGAAAAGAAAAAAGCTCATACCTCTCCAGATGGCTTCTCATTTATAGGCTAATGTATAACATTGATAAAGTGAACAGAGATCAATAATTTTGTCACTTTAACAACAGCTGTAAAAATTTAAACTCAGAAACATACAATAACATAAAAGCAGGCAGTCATACCTTGTAGCCACATCTTTCAAAATATGCTTCCTCTTCTTTTTTTGCAAGTTCACTACGCTTGAAATACTTTTTATTTTCCTATTGAAGAAAGAAGTACATTAATAGGTCCCTGGGTAAAATTTCATGTTCCATAGTCAACCTAAAAACACTCTTCAGTTTTTCAAGAGCATGGTCAAGTTTGATTCTATAGAGATTATACTGATTTCTTGAACATGGCACCTGTCCTCTACCCTGCTCTAAATATGAAGTATTTTTCTTACAGCATCAGTTTAACAGGCATATCCAACAGCAAAGAGAAGAAACCAACAATATTTTCCAAATGTTCACATTGTTTTGATTTGATTTCCCAATGTTTGCTTTCAATGATAATTTCTACAAATGAATTCATTACGAACCACATAAAATAGGATGCTTTATTTTCTCCCAACAGAAACAACTGAACAAAACTTAGGGTTAACTTTTGTATCTGACATCTTAACTCCCATTACCCAGAGAGCTGCAAGGGTGTGTCCAAATTCTTCTTGTCACTTGGAATCTTTTTTATCAATTAATTGTATTTGTATTAATCAAGTCTTAAAATTGTATTAATTCTTAATCTCGACATGAAATGGTCTGAAAGTATTAACAAAATCGTTTAAAGCTATTTGTTTTATAAGATTCAGTGTTATGAGACAAGCTCTAAATCTGTAGGAGAAAACAATATTAATTCTCTACTACGTACATTATTCTCATTGTTAAACCTACAGTTCCTAATTTGGACGTTGTTACCGTCTACTGCTATTCCTCTTGGATATTATTCCACTAATGATTTAGCTCAAATAAAGCTACTGCCCTACTTTATTAGTAGTAACTGTAATAGTACCTAAGTAATACCTCCACACATGTATTTAGCACCTCACAGTTCCCAAGCTCATTCACTCTGGCAATAATCATGGATGCTAAGTTCATGACAAGAAGGGTTGACAGTGAACACTGGACAGCTCAGACTGCCACACTTGAAGGCACCGGTCAAGCCTGGCATCAGGAAAACATTATGTGTCCCCTATGTGATACACATAGCATCTACAAAGTATTCTTGCCCAAAAACCGCATGTCAATCTAATCACACATTCAAGTCTCATTTTAAATTCAATTTAGTTAACATATAGTGTATTATTAGTTTCAGGGGTAGAATTCAGTGATTTCTGAGTTCCAAATAACACCTAGTGCTCATTAGATCAAGTGCCCCCACTCACCTCCCCTCCAGCAACCCTCAGGTTTGTTCTCTATAAGCTGAGAGTCTCTTATGGTTTGCCTCCCTCTCTGTTTTTATTTTTCTTTCCCTTGCCCTATGTTCATCTGTTTTGCTTCTTAAATTCCACATGAGTGAAATTGTACAGTATTTGTCTTTCGCTGACTGACTTATTTCGCTTAGCATAATACCCTCTAGTTCCATCCGTGTCACCGCAAATGGCAAGATTTCATTCTTTTTGATGGTTGAGTAATATTCCTGTGTGTGTGTGTGTACACATACACACACACCACATTTTCTTTATCCATTCATCTGTTGATGGTAGGTCTCATCTCTAGTTTATTAGAAATCTAGGGAATAGGGAAATAAGCTAAACACCATCACTGGGAAGCAAACACTGGGACATTTACCAAATTAGCAAGTTTCTCCAACAAGTTAAAGGCATAAAAAAGGGTGGGGGCGGTGTGAATGAAAATGTTCTTGATTAAAAGAAACCAAGAGTCATAGTTAAACAAATGCAATGAGTGGACTGAGTGGCTCGGATTTGAACAAACCAACTGTAAAAACATGTATGTATAGATTTTAATTCAATTGAGGACATTAGAACATGAGAAGAGTATTTAATGATATTAAGGACCTAACTGCAATTTTGTTGGGTAGGATCACATCTCGTTTATTAAAGAACATGTTCTTATTTTCTAGAGTTACAAGTGCTAAGACAAGGATAGATAGAGGTTCATTATGTAATTCTCTTTTTGTATATGTTTAAATTTCTCATGATAAAGTTTTGTTTTAGTTTATTAACTCAATGAACATTCACTAATTCATCTACCACACACTAAGCACAGCTTTATAGATGTAAAGTTGAAGGTACTGTCTGGAATAAGGAACTGATGGCATCATCCCAACAGCAATACTACCTGAGAAAGCAATACTATTAATCCCAGTTTAGACATGAGAGACCTGAAAGGGCAGGGGACATTTTCACAACTTACTGAGCCTCATGAGTAATACGCACAACTAGAACTCTGGTCCTTAAATCCTTTGAACTGATCCAGTATTACAAGCTACAGTTCTTCACTCCTAAAATCTTATCCCAGCATCAAGTGTTTTTTTTGACTACAGAGCATGTAGCTGTTGTATTTTTTTTTCAAAGCTTTTTTTATTTATTCGAGAGACAGAGAGAGTGAGACAGAGAGAAGCACAAGTGGGAGGAGGGGCAGAGAGGGAGGGAGAAGCAGACTCCCGCCGAGTCGGAGCCCAGATCCTGACCTGAGCTGAAGGCAGACGCTTAACCGACTGAGTCACCCAGGAGCCCGTAGCTGTCATATTTCATATAAATAAGCTGATAAGCACATACTGGTATCCTCTCAGAAAGAGCGGATAGGTAGGAAAAAAATAAAGGACTCTCCAGGCCAGAGTCCGTGGTGCAGGCTGTGGTAGCATCTGTTACTAGCACGCCCCGATTCCATGGAATACACCTAAGAAAATCTTAGCCCAGAACACTGATTCTCAAAATGTGGCTCATGGACCTCTGGGAGGTTCCTAAGACCTTTTCAGAGGTTCTGCAAGGTCAGACGTATTATCATAATAATACTGAGAGGTTATGCGCCCCCCTTTTCCCTGCAATCATACCTGCACTGATGGTACAAAAGCAGTGGTGAGGAAAATCATTGGAACCTCAGCACAAATAAAGGTAAGTATTGATCTTTATGTCTCAGAGTTCATTGTATTCTTCATCTTTTAGTATTTGGTATGATGAAATCAAACATATAAAGCAGTTTTGCTACATAATAAAGTAGGACAGTTGTCTCCTGTTTGGCAGACGTTTTCTCAAAACTGAACAAAACAAGCCTGTTACTAAAAGGACAATGATACTATCTGTTGCCTATGATAAAATTCCATCTTTCAAGCAAAAATCAGATGGTGGCAAACTTGCAGCCATCACTATGAACTTGATGGCTTCCCAATACCTAAAAACTTTTCTGATGAATCAGTGGTGATATTAATGAATGCCATTTTTTAATATCATCTAATGAAACATATCACCATGTAGAAGATCTATGTAACTCAGCAAACTACGACAGTACAAAGGAAACAATTCCAGAATTATGCATAGGCAAAAGAGCAGAATAGATCAGAACAGATCTGGAGCATAACAGATCAATAGATTGTAATATACAAAAAGTTCACTGATGGGGCACCTGGCTGGTTCAGCCAGTGGAGAATGTGACTCTTGATCAAGGGGTTTTAAGTTCGAGCCCCACATTGGGTATAGAGATTACTTAAAAATAAAATCTTAAAAAAAAAAAAAGTTAACTGATAACGGTCAGAATCCATACTCTCATCTTTAAAAAATTTATCATTGTGTAGTTTTAATATAGTATCAAAGAAGAATATCCACAATTATCTGAAAAGGCTATTAAAATACTACCCTTTCCAACTACCTAGCTGTGTGAAGATGAGGTTTCCTCATATACTTGAACAAAAACAATGTATCGCAACAGGTTAAATGGAGAAACAGGAGAATCCAACTGTCTTCTAACATGAAAGGAATTAAAAAGATTTGCAAAATTGTAAACCGTCATTCTTCTTGCTAATTTCTTTTGTCTTGGAAAATAGTTTTCATAAAAGCATTATGTTAACACACACAGGTTTATTATAGTATGAAATAGAAGTCAACATGGAATATAAGTATTTTTAAATTTCCCAGTTTTAATTTTTTAATTCTTTATTATTCTGAGAGACAGACTGCACGCATGCACTAGTAAGGGGAGTGGGGGAGGGCAGAGAGAGAAAAAGAATCTCAAGCAGGCTCCACGTCCAGCACAGAGCCTGACACAGGGCTCGATCTCAATACCCTGAGATCCTGACCTGAGCCAAAATCAAGAGGTCAGATGCTTAACTGACTGAGCCACCCAGGCGCCCCTAAATTTCCCAGTTTTAATTTCTAATCGAGTAATTATCAATAAATACATCCTTTATAAAACAAAAGCTCTCTGCAGCCATCAATTAAACATGTAAAGGGGTTCTGAAATCAAGAAGTGAGAACCAAGGTCCTAGTAGAATCCCCTCATTGGCCCTCCCTATGCCTTTACCCAGTGTGCCAAGCAATACTGAAACCACTTGGGCCTCAATGCTGCCCACTGATCCTGGTGTATTTATCCAGTTTGCTCTCCTATTCTCTACAATGACCAGTACACATTCTCCACTCTCTTAGACGTCTTATCCCTTCATTTCCCCCTAATTCTCAGCAAATGACTAAGCCACTCTGTTACAGAGAAAAGGAAAGCCATTGAAAGAGAAGTCCTCCCAGTACCAATCCTTACTGGCTCTGCACCAATTCTTTCTTCATTTCAGAATGGAAAAGGAAACCCTCCTCCTGCCTAAGGCCAATCCCTTCCAGGGGCATTCCAGATCTCAAGATCTCCCTGCTGCGCAAGGAGCCAGATGCAGGGCTCGATCCTAGGACCCTGAGATCATGACCTGAGCTGAGGCAGATGTTTAACCGACTGAGCCACCCAGCTGCCCCTGAATGAATTAACAATAAAATTAATTTGCTTTTCATTTTGGAATTATAATAAGATAAAAATATTTTGCTTTATACTAAGTGACCATTTATTTTATGACAACAAAGGATGTCTAAAACAAAAGGTTACCCACCATGTTTCAAATGTCACTCTTTATATACCTTCTATTTAGAAAAAAAGAGCAGTTTGAAAGAGCAACTAAAGGTTCTCTAACTGTAAAACGTTATTTTACAAAGTACACTGAAAATACACTTTGAAATATAAAGTGCTGGGGACACATTTATGATAGAATTAATATTGTAGAGTATTAAAAGTTA